AAAAAAATTTTTTTTTGATTGGTGTTGGTGGCATAAAACCAATCTTGGCTGAATATACCTAGTCACTAAGGCTATCACCAAGCAAAGTCTCTTACGTAGGAAGTTGCAGGTGTTCAGGCTAAGTCTTTGGAATATTTGCATTTTGGCCCAGTTCAAAAATTCAGGGTTTTATCAGATGAAAACATGCATATGGCCCATCTCCTTAATGACATTCTGGCTTAATTTAAAAACCCCTTGACATAACTGACCCCATTTCATTTCATCGTTCAGATGATTCATGTGATCTTCTGTGAATATCCAAACTTACACACACACACACACACACACACACACATGCTTTCAAATACTCAATTAGCACATATATTCAATAGGAGTATATTGTTTTAACTGAGATACTCCAAAGTCATAGCATTTATAAAGACTTGGGGCAGGAGTTTTAATTTAGAAGTTAGAAGTGTTCCCCCAGGACACTCTCTTGCAGGCTCACCATAGCTATTGACGCTATTAGCAATTGCCTTACCAAAGGTCCAGGGAAATGTCAATTAAGGAGTGAGAAGTGGGTTAGAAGAGAGTTCAGAGAAAGGAAGGGGAAACTGATGACCTATCCGGTGTCAGATATGACTCTAAGAATTTTCAGGGTACTGTTTTATTTAATTTTCCCAACCACCTGGGGAGATGATTATTATTCTTTCCCATTTTGCAGATGAGAAAACTGAGATGTAGAAAGGTCAAGTAACTTGTCCAAAGTAAAACAGCTAGAAAGTTTTGGAGGCAAGATTCAAACTTAAGTCTGGCTGATTTCAAAGTCCCAAGCCCAATGACTTCCACCCTACTGGAAAGACAAAGGCGAGCAGGTACCCAGGAGGGTGGAGAGTGGCTGAACTGCCAGTTGTTTTAAATGCTCTAGGAAGGGGTGGGAGGTGAAATCTGAAACAAACAAATAAACAAACAAAACCCCACAAAAAATGAACAATTACAACCTCAAAACCAAACCCACTAGCAGAAACCACAGACGACAACCCTTCTCTGTCTCAGCACCTCTTCAGACATGTGGGCTCTTTACCAGGCCACATTTTAAATGTTCACAGGGGTCAGGTCTAAGACAAACACACAGAAATGGTGACATTTTGTTGGAAAGCAGACCTTCTACTTTTATGCCTTAGTCCATCCCCAGAATCCTCACTTTTGTGGCTAAGTGGAAGTCAGTTGTAATCACTTGAGCATACAACTAAGATTTCTGTAAATCAAAATTCTTGAGAAAACAAAACAAAACAAAACAAAACAAAACTAGATATGTTCTTCGGTTCTGGTAGTGTTATTGTCACAATCAGTTTGGGCTGCTAACAGAATACCATAGACTGAGTGGCTTAAACAATACACATTTCTCACAGTTCAAGAGGCTGGCAGCCCAAATCAAGGTATCACCAATTTGGTTCTTGGTGAGGGCTCTCTTGCTGGCTTATAGACAGCTGACTTCTTGCCATCACAAGACATGCAGAGAGAGCACTCTGGACTCTTCCTCTCATTCTGTTTCAAGTTTTTATTTAAGTAATCTCTACATCCAACGTAGGACTTGAACTCACAACCCCGACATCAAGGGTCACAGACTCCTCCAACTGAGTCAGTCAGGCGCCCCTCTTCCTCTTCCTATTAGGACACTGATCACATCATGGGGGCTCCACCCTCATGACCTCACCTAATGACCTTGCAGGTCCCCACCTCCTAATACCATCACAATGGAGGTTAGAGTTTCCACATTTGCACTGGGGGGGGGG